TTGAACTGGTGTATGACAACCTAGTTCAGAAGCATGAGGCTTATACCGAGCAGATTTTTGATGATGATAATTTATTGCCGAAGAGGAATGGTTGGAAGAATGCCAACAAATGTTCATAGCGTTGCAGTGTGAGGCAAAAGATCATCTAACTCCAACACCTACTGAAAAAGAGTTAAACCCGAAAGCAGAAGACAGTGCCAGTACAGAGAAAACTAGTTCCAGTGCAGAGCAGTCCAGTTCCAGTGCAGAGCAGTCCAGTTCCAGTGCAGAGCAAATATCCAGTGCGGAGCAAACCAGTACAACTTCCAGTGTCAAGCAGATAACAGAATCTGATAGCCATATCAGCATAAATGAAGCAGGTGATCAGGAGGAAGAGCAGAAGAAAGTGAATACAGCAACCCATGATGTCGACAAATTCTGTGGGTTTAAAATGGAAAAGCCAAAGATGCCCAAGTACACGGGGGATGTCAGAGAATACGCCATCTTTAAAGATGACTTCAAGCACATGGTCGATAAGAGGTATGGTAAGAGGGATGCCATCACACTGTTACGTACATGCCTACAAGGAAAGCCGTTGGAGCTGATTAAGGGAATTGGGTCCGACTACGATGCAGCCTGGGAGTATCTCGACTCCATATATGGTGATCCACGATTCATTACTGACACCGTCGCCCAAGACATCATGAAGTTAAAGCCACTCCGAGACGGAGAAGACGCCAGATTCTGTGAGTTAGTTCATCTTGTGAGAAGGAGTTATAACACATTGAAGGAGGTGGGGCGACGGAACGACATGGATAATAATCATATGCTAGCAGTCATTGAGCAGAAAATGAACTCTGACGACCAGAAGGTGTGGTCCAGACACTTGGAAAGGGAAAAAGAAATGGCGACACTACAAGGACTGCTAGACTGGATGTCATCAGAAATGAAATCGAGGAAGAGGGCAACGGCATCAGTACGATGTGTAGCTCAAAGTCCCCGATCAAGCATCAATCACATTCAGCAGAAAGACCCAAAGTCAATGCCGCTCCGTGACAAGTGCGGATTTGTCACGCTTCCAGCCACTGGACAGACCAGTGTGAGAAGTTCAAGGGGATGAGTCCAGAAAACCGATTTAAGATGGCTAAAGAGAACCATGTCTGCTTCAGCTGCCTCGAAAGGGCAGGAAAAGGCCATAATGTGTCTACATGTCGAGAAGACGACAGTGCACGGAGATGATGAACGGAATCCAGTGTAAACACTTTCACCATCAGTTACTGCATCTTACTCCCCAGCAAGCCACCGGTTCAGTCAGCGTTGCAGTAAGTACAACCCGAGCAGGGGTATTACTACCAGTCCTACAAGTGCAGATCATGGGAACCCAGATTACTCAACCAGCAAATGTCCTGCTTGACTCCGGGGCACAGATATCATTGATCAGAAAGTCCCTCGCCGAAAACTTGAAGCTCAAGGTCCATTCACCGATGATGCAGGAATCTTAAGGGTTGGAGGCCGACTGCAGGAGTCTACGATGTTGTACACTACAAAGCACCCAGCACTGCTTCCCCATGATCATCACATTTCCATTCTGATTGTGCGGAATATACACCAACAGGGCCACACTGGTGTTGCCACCACTGTTGCGAAAACAAGGCAAAGATACTGGATCCTGAAGGCACACAACCTAGCCAAGACGATCAAATACCGCTGTGTGGTTTGCAGAGAAGCAGAGCACAAACTTGAGACACAGATCATGGCTGATTTACCGAAGCAACGCCTGGCACCATACACGCCACCATTCTACTTCACGTCATGCGACTACTTTGGACCCTACCAAGTGAAGATTGGACGTAACAAGACAGCCAAACACTATGGAGTGATCTTTACTTGCCTGAACACCAGAGCAGTGCACCTAGAGCTAGCAGTAGACTGTTCCACTATGGAATACATTTAAGTGCTCCGCAGATTCTTCTCTATTAGAGGCTATCCAGCTAAGATGATTAGTGACAACGGAACCCAACTGGTCGGAGCACAACCAGTGGTCGGAGCACAACAAGCGCTGGAGCCGAGATGTTCTACCCTGCCTGGTACCACGCAAGAAATGGAGAGCTGAAAGGCTTAACGTACGGGTTGGTGATGTGGTAACTGTGTCAGATACCAATGCAGTCCGGGGCAAGTGGTGTGTCGGTAGGGTTCTCGAGGTCTTCCCTGGATTGGATGGCATGGTGAGGAACGTGAAGGTGAAGACTGAGAGCGGAGAGTACCAGAGGCCTATCACAAAGATAGCAGTGATCTACCCGGCAGAAGGTTATGATGAGGACTAGTCGCTCATCGGGGCGAGGATGTTCCACTGAGCCAGTGACCTGTGAGATTGTGACTGTAGCTTGAAGAGCGCCCTCTATTGATTGTAGTTTATTGTTTACATGTGGTTTTGTCAGCCATGTTTCAGCATGTTTTGCTGTAGCAGTTTTTAGCCGAAAAGTTTGTAGTCAAACTAGCAGTTAATCAGTTTCTACTTCAGAGATTATGGACACCTGGTTATCCTAGAGTCTTGCCAAAGAAGTGAGTAGTTTTTCAGTTGTTTTTTATGATGATATAAGCCCTTATAATAGCAGACATATTTCACCAGTTTTCATGTTGAACTTAAAGTACATGTACATGCAACTTGTTTACAAATAACATGCAGATGAAGTACATGAACGTATAAGAAGTTTCCCAGCTTTTGCCAGTTTCAGACCAGATAAGAGAAATTAGGGATTGTTTATTAATGAAGGACGTTACTGAGAACTAAGGAAAGTTCGATATGTTTCCCAAGTATTTTCTGGATTATTATGAAGGTTAAAGGAGAGTTTTTAGAACCACTTTCTTACTGATAAGTTAGCACCCTTGATTAAGGATGACATGTATTAAGGATCTCTTTTTTGTTTGTTTATTTACAGTTCAAATTACATTAAAATACGAAAGCAAGATTTCTAGTCCGTGTCACACCTGTATGCCTTACTCCTTGATGAGCCAATGATTCTGCCAGTTTTATACAATTTGAAGCATTTTCACATTTTGCCTTCCTGTACAATGACCAATCCATATTTCAATGGCTTCCATCACATTATCACCTAAACACCACAGTTAATTTCTGATTCCTTGTGATTAGACAAATCATTTCAAATACCGTTTGGCCAAATTGGACCACTGTTTATGAGAATGGCAGCTCTTTAGATTTTATGCAAATTAGACATTTCCGCTACTTGGATTTTCTCAGACTTTTTATGTTATTCTAGTTACTTCAATTTTGTGGAGAAAATCATTTGTTAACAATACGTCCCTGGCCAAACATTAACAAACCGAATTGAAAAAAAAAATTAAAGTGGTTGACATGTTAAGGTTACATGTATGCTTATATGATTATACACCTTTTGTCGCTTGATAACCTTTGAGCAAGTTTCATCAAATTAAAAAGGTGCATTTTAAATGAGTCTTTTTTTAAAATTGGAGTTTACGTAGAAGTCTATGGGGAATGCTGCCATAGAGGATGCTATACATGCCATTTTACCACGTTTACAGGCCTATATTTAAAAAAACTGACCTTTTTAATTTGATGAAATTTGCTTAAAAATTTGCTAGAGCCTAGAAGTATAACAGTAGTGTTCCTGAATCAGTGCCACTCCTTAAAACATAAAATGTCCTATACATATCATTGGACTGAACACCTATGTGCTTGAAGCCACCAAGTTTGGCCGTGTCAAAGTCGAAGTGTCAGAGTATTCAAATAAAGAATATAGAAAAATAAATCAGAAGTCTCTTGTGCTTCTCTGTAAGAAAGAATAGCCAGCTATTTGCCCCTGGAAAGCCGGGGCAGGGAAAGGGCGCAAATCCAAGCCGAGAGTACTTTAACGGTTTCAGAGGGGTGATCGGAGTCGGCCCGGGAGAAGGCACCAGAGCAGGCCTGGCCTGACAGTGGGTCTTTTCCGACGTTTTGACGGCCCGCGCAGTTCGCCCCAAAAAGGCGACATTTCTACGGATTGGGTCGAGTCCAAGAACGGGCACCGAGGTCCCAGTCGTGGGCAAATCGCGCCGCTGGCCCTACGTGACCAACAGAGCCCCAAACAGAGGCAATCGCCATGGTGTGCCTATATATAAGGGGGAGGTGGTACCCCCAGTGTCCGACCCACGGAGGCACGAGATGGGCGCGGTGCGGTGGGTCGGTCGGTCCGGACTTTTGGAAGAAATTTTTTTTTTCTACACTACCCTATGGCAGAGCCCCAAACAGAGGCAATGGTGTGCCTATATATAAGGGTGTGAGTTCGCTTCATGTGGTTCTCCTCTCATGTGCAGAACCCATTTTCTTCTGACAACTACATACAACTGTACTATTGTGAGGAAAATTCTTCAGCATCCAGTTGATGAAGGGCAGGCCATCCGCAGTTTTGGAGACAAATCGCCCTATCTAAAATATATTCACGTTCAAAATTGAAAGATGTCACTAAATAAACAAAATTTAATCTGAAAACGGATGGCTACAGCACACGCTGTAAAAACCACCTGAAACGTCAACACTGGCCCAAGAAAGGTCAGCAGGCAACAACAAGATTTCACTATCTATTTAGTTTAATTAAAAAACGAATGATGGGATTGAGTGGTTTTGTAATAAGACGCTTCAACTTATCAGACTGACTCGTGGATGGCTATGCCTAGCATTGGACAGGCAAATCACAGATGCCCAATATCACAGGTGCATCAATTTTTATGGTTTAAGTTAATCGGACTACACGCTCAGCGTGCATTTTCTCTTCTAAACTAGAGCCTACAAGGGCATGGTCCCTGAGACTTTTAACTGGACCAAACATGCCGCCTTCAAAAATGAGCTGGACACATTGAGGCAAAAACGAGAGCAATCAGGGCAAGTATAGGGTCAACTTGGAAAAAGTGTTGCAACCTGACGCCACTTTTTTTCTTCATAAATCATCTCAATATGAAGGATATTCATTGCAAAAATGATAAGACATGAATCTGGGACTGAGAAACATTTCCAATTTTGTTAAGAAATACTTACAAAAATTTCTTGACTTTGTATCGCGGAAGTGGCGTCAGGTTGCAAATTGTTTTCCGTCAACTTCTACAACTGGCAGAGTTTGTCAAAGGGATGAATATGATCAGCTTGGTCAGCTTGAGGGGATGAGTCATCAGAGTGAGACATGGATAGTGAAGGGGATGGATTATGGGACCTTTACAGTGGCATGCGTGGTAAAAGTTACTATGCTCAGCGTTGAACGCGTTCCTAAAGAATTCTGGTGAAACGTTCAAGGAGTCGAGTCTATTCAAATAACAATACAATACAATACAATTAGGCATTTATATAGCGCCCTTTAAGGAACACAGCGCTGTACAAGGCAATACATAACAGTGTAGGTTAACTACCTTTATACTAACATCAGTACCGGTACTTCATCCCACGGGTCAGGCACTGTGCGTGCGTAAGTACACAACTTGTTTTCTGTAAAAAAAAAGTGTAATCAAATTATTACTTTGAACAGTATATCTTTGTTTTCTTTGGTTGTTTGCTTGATGTGCTTGTCCCCTGTTTTTCGGTTTTGATGTGTGAACAAGGGTCCCCATTTAGTGGGCCTGTGTGCCTGTTCGGGGTTTCCCTTTGCACCACATGTCATTTCCAATGTATTTGTGCAATGAAGGTAATAAAATCAAATCAAATCAAATCAACTTCAGTACATGTATGGCTATGTGAGTGATGGTGGCCTTGCATGATCAGCTTGGTGGTACATGTACGTACCGCACACTTGGTACATGTATTTGTTTTTGGATTCTGACTTTTATGGAGGAATTGTTCTGGTTTTGAGGAAATGGGACCGAAAGTAACGCGCCGTCTTAGGCGAAATGGCGACTAACAATGGCCAACTTAGAAACGAAAATTTCAATGGAACTGTATCAGATCGGGAATTTCGTCAGACGGCCGACTTAAGTGATATGATGAGTTATACAATGTCGACTTGGCCAGAGTTTACTGTTTCATCAAAATTTTGTCTTTATTTCTTTTCACAGAGAGGCAATTATATTCTTTCTTCTAGTTGCTGCAACCGAACAGCCGAACCGAACTAAAAATAGCCAAACCATGGCCTACCCAACCGAACAGGAGGGGAAGGCTTTAGACTTTCAGTCTTTGGGGACAAAGGTCATAATAATAATAACAGGTTTTATATAGCTCTTTTAACTAAGATCAGAGCGCTTTACATTATTATTGCCCCCGATCATTGGGCCAAGCATACAGCTCAATGCAGCCTGTTAGGCGCAAGGAAGTTAATTCAATCACAGTGACCATCTCTGCCCTCACAAGTACCTATTTACTCCTGGGTGGAGAGAAGCAATGAGTGACAAAGTGCCTTGCCCAAGAGCACACGCACCATAGCCACAGGCTGGACTTGAACCCGCCATCTACAGAATCACCCGCAGACCATGAATTCAGTGCCCCAGACCATGACGCCACGGCACTTCACACAACCTGCACCAAAACTCTTCATTTTTTCTTCTCAACTACAGCCTTCAAGGGCAAAGCCATGAACTTGACAAACTGAGGCAAGAGAAGTCGGGGTAAGTAGTGTCTACTTCCAGAACTGTCTTCCGATTTTTACTTGGTTGGTTTTGGCTAACTAATCTTTTGTACCTTGGATCTCTTCTGGAGTCACGTTGGGGATGGTTGATGATACCTTCAAGGGTTGAAGAGGCTCGCTTTCTTCCTCTGCTTGTGACCTCATATGTACTGCCATTCTTTCTTTCTACTTCTTCGGTTAAGTTAGCCACGGGCTTCCACTGAGGATCTGGGTTATCAGCTGCTCTTGCACCTTGAATATGACCCAAAACCAAACCATAAATTGGGTTATTCATACCTATGGCTTCTACTTCACCAGACAAGAAAGGGGTATTGATTGTTAACTCCTTGCTTTTGGAAACTTGCGGACAGTGCTATCTATCATATGACAGTGCTTATTCTGACCCGTCACTTGCTCAGGCATAACCAAAGCTTGCTGCACTACAACTCCACTACATCCTGTGTCTGTAAGTACCTGTACCCTATTGGAACCTACAAACCCATCAGTCACAGGCATACCTTGAGGTTTAGACTGCTTATACATTGCTGACATGACAGGAAGCATATGTCCACATTGGAGTTTTGCCATACCATTTATACTACAGCAATCTTGCAAATTCTGAGTTTCTATCATACAGGCAGCTTCCTACACTTGGGACAAGAACATTCAACATGTACCTGTTCCAACGGTTGTTGTTTCCTGTCAGGTTTCTTGTCTGTTTTGGCCCTTTCTCTGATTGTTTTATCATTAGCTTCAGCTGACATACCTGCAGTTTTCATGGGCTGACCACTACCCTTACTCCAACAATCTGTGGCATGATGTCTCGGTTTACCGCAAATAAAGCATCGCATGCTCTCCTGATGGTAGCGTGGTTTGGAAGTACTTGACGTATCTTACCTGGCCTCGGTAGGATGACGCTGACTTCCTCCTCCTGATTGTTGGTTTGGCTTGGTCGATGGTGTCCGCCATAGACTCTTCTTGTGTGCCTCTACGTATCGCTGGGCGAGTTCCATCATTTTGTTGATGGTTGTGGGCTTTCGTCCCTTTAGGAAAAGTGACAACTGAGGACTGGAACCATTAACAAATTGCTCTCTTAACAGTAAATCAGTTACATCATGTGTTTTCTGGGTGGAAGAATTCTATCCCATCTGCTATAATAGTTTTTCAGTCTTACTGCAAACTGAAAGGCAGTTTCCCCATTTCAAGGCTTCGCATTACAAAACTTTTCTCTAAATCCTTCTTCTGTTAACCTAAATCGCCTTAGTGGCATAGTTGCCAACTTGATTAATAGGCAGCCTGTATTTACTTCCAGGGAATTACCTTTAAGGAGGGCACTTAAATTAACAGCCAAAGTATTTTCTGGCACCCAAGACTAGTAGCATACCTTTCAAATCTGGCAATATAGGCATCAACGTCATCCTTGTTATCGTCAAACACCGGCAACCTTGGTGTTTTTGGTGTGACTCTTCGTTGGGGTTGAGTACTCTCACTGCCGTCTAGACTATCTGCATCACTAGCAGCTTCCTGTTTAGCAGTTTGCAGTTTCGTCTGTAAGAGAACTTTTGTTTGCAAAATTTCATGTTCATATCTTTAACTCTTGTTGTCTGTAAATTCCATTTCTTGGGCCCGACTGTCACATGCAGCATGTTCACCCACACAGACAAAATCCATCAAATCATTACCTGACAATCCTACCTCCCAGCCTAAGTCTAACCACTGCGCCAGTAAGGACAAGAGTTCAATCCAACACACACAATAACCGCAACTGTAATCGACTTACCGGACTATAATAAGAAACTTTAATGAACAAAGGTGAGAATGCACATTGAGCGATAAACGATAGAATGAAGACAAGCCGGTCAAAGGTCACGAACACAAGAGGGCACAATCATTACTACTGGTGTGACTTCTTTTTTTCTCTTTTGAAACAAGGCAAAGAGCTGAAACAATGAGTCCCTCTTACAGTTAAATATATTAGAAGGAGAACGAAGAATATGGCTTTTTGTTGCTGCGCTCAATTGAAACAAGAAACAAAGCTAAACATATAATATCAAAATGGAATCTAATGCTACATAAAGAAAAAAAAATGGGCCTTCATAGGGGTAGACTGCCCTCCAGCCCTAGGGATTATTCTGCCCCAAATGTGCCACTCCATAGGAAGGCATTATATATCTTGTCCTAAACACTACAAGTGTTCACACAGTCACGGATCAGTGTCAATAATCAGTCAAGTAGTCATCAAGGTATGCGGGTGGTTTGCGTAGGCGGGATGAGCGTCTTGCGGGTGAGCGTGGGCAAGAGGTGCTCATGTCTCCAGGGCTAGTCATTCAGAGGACCGGAACGCAAGAGACTAATGGGATGCATAGATCTTAACTTGTTAATCCCTTCCCATCCCAAGTTACAACAACTGAAAAGGCTTTGGAGTGTCTTTCCTCAACTCATGAAAGAAATGGAGAAAAGTCTGAGCTCAAGTGAAATTGATGAGTTTGAAGAAAAAGCAAAGGCGTGGGTGTCAATGTACTATGAAACATATTGCAGTACTGATATTACCCCCTACATGCACGTGTTAGCTTGCCACGTTCCCGAATGCATGATGTTACATGGTAATATATCACATTTTTGTCAACAGGGCTTGGAAAAAGTCAATGATTTAGTGACAAAGTGGTATCATAGATCCACCAACTTTGGTCCCAAATCCTTGTCTCAGATAATGGTTAAACAGTACGGACTGCATTTGCTGCAGGAAAAGTACATATGTAGAACCAGGTGGCATGTCAAATGTAGCACCTGCCAAAATACTGGACACAACAAGAGAACATGTGATGCTCTCGCTGTGGAAGTGTAAGATGTAAATCCTCCAAACAGGGCTTCCGAGTGAGTGTCCTTACAATTGGTTGCACAATCAATTACAACTAATTGTTTCTGCTTACGATTACGAATTGTCAACATGGAAATATTGAACACACTTTTTGTGAAGTATGTTCCCTAAATATGTTTGAACAATAAAAATCATACTGAATTGTTGTGTGCACTTGCAGTTTTTACAATTTTTGGTATTTGGAGATTTTGGAAATCCTTTTGAACTGAACAGCCCATATACTTACCATCCTCATGTATATAACAATTTCATTTGTTATTTGGAAAGTATGGAAATAAATGTTGTTGGAATTGGAGTTGGAATTACTGTGAAGTTAATGGTCCATCATACAAAATAATAAAGTTCTTTGCAACAGTTTAATGAACGGAAAGATTCCCATATCTGGCCATCAGTAATTTTTCCCTTAAATGACCTATTAGCCATCAGAAAGTGATGTCCTAAAAAAAAATATCAAATTAGCAAATACAAATTTTGAATTTTTACAGAGAAAACACTTAAAAATGTTCAGACCAGGCCCATAGTGTTTGTGCACAGGGTGACAATAGATGGCCAGATATAGGAATCTTTCCCAATGGACAGTATTTGGCCGGTCCGTCCCTCTGTCAACCACCTCCCCCCTCCCCGGAAAGTGCAAGTTTCCAAAACTAGCCCCCGTTTGGCCTTTGGGTGCGCGCGTGCGTGTGTTCTGTCTACATGTTCACGCGTACTCGCCAGATTGTGTGCTGTGTACTGCAGGGCGCGCGTGCTTGAGCTTTTGTCCATTTGCCTATATCAACTTTTCATTATGTCCTTCAAAGGCACAGAAGGCAAAAGAAAAAAAGTATTGGAGTGATTGTAAAAAGAAGTGGAGAGCTGGCTTAAGTGAAGAAAGAAAAAAGCAGATAAATGCACAAAGAAGAGAGAAAGCACGAGAATAAAGACAACTGGTACTTGCCATTCGCCGAAAAATATAAGAAGATAAAAAGAAAGCCGCGTTGGAAAAACAAACGACATTGGAACTGGCAGAAAGGGAAGAGGAAGAATTGCAAAGAATGGTAGAAGAGGAATTAAACTCATCACAAAATAGAAAACCTGCTGCTCAAAGAAAGGCCTACTCCAGAGCGAGGGTATCAATGCCGCTTGATCCAGTGAAGTACGCACAAACAGCAGCAGACTTGATAAATAAGCCATCCCCACGAAAAAGAAAGGCAGTTCAGAAAATACTAAATGCTCGCTCACCTCCTCGAGGCATTGTAGCCATTGACTCACTGGTTTCAGCTTGACTCAAAAAATGACTGACACAACTAAAAGATCAGCACACAGCACGTCAGAGAATGAAGAGAAGGGAATTAGCTGCAACTCTTGCATGCCTGAAAAAATATAAATTGCAGCGGCTAGGATGCAGGTTGTTTGGAGTATCTCCAAAAATAACCAAAAACAACTCCCAAGAGCTGAAGTACAGGAATGGGTCTAAGTTGAACGACAGCACGAAAGACATGGTAATCAGTTACTATGCACAGAACTCCATAGAACTCCCACATCAAAAAACAATAAGCAGAAGAACATTGAAAAAGACCAGAATCCTAGAAACACCAGTGCCCAGTTTAAGAAAGAGTTCCCTGAGCAAGGGTCAGTAAGTCGTCCTTCTACAAGCTACGCCCGAAACACATAAAAACTGTAAGGTCAATTAAATTTTGGGCGTGCCTCTGCGAGTATTGTGAAAATGTGAGCTTAAAGTTGAAGATCATCAATGCCCACTGCACCACACCCCTCAAAACTGTTGATGAAGCTTCAAACATCACCATGTGTGAAAAAAAGCCTGGCTCAAAATATCACCAGAAGGCATGCATTGAAAGGAATTGTAAGGAATGTGGTGTCCAAAAAATGCAAAAAAACCCTAACAAGTCTTGACAAGGAAAAGGAAGTAGAATGGCACAAGTGGATCACTTCAAAGAAGGAAAAGACAACCAAAAAAGGAGAAAAAATTGTGGCAAGAAAAATCAGGGCATTGGAGAAAGGTACATTGGGCAATGTACTCAAAGAGCTACTGAGTTGGAAACACTACATGTATATCTCAACATCTTTTCTGCAAAAAGTGGCAACAACAACAGTTTGCACATATTACATCAAAGAAACTCCCACATGGATACTGTGTTATGGTCTTGGATTTCGCCGAGAACTATACCGGTATGTGCAAAACCCAAGATGAGGTGCAGGCTGAACATTGGACCCAAGAGCAAGTTAGGATTCATCCCGTTATGACATACAATTGCAAACGCCAGTCATGTGTAAAACCAGTCATGTATTCCATCATTTCAGACGATCTCACCCATGACTATCATGCTGTACATGCCTTCCATTCAGCAGCTGTAAAGCACATACAACAGGAAACCGAAGGTGGCATTACCAAAGTAATTCGTTTTTCAGATGCCTGCTCCTCTCAGTATAAATCAAAGGGCCCATTCGGTGATATCTCATATGCAGTAAACGACATCAACATCCCAGTGGAGCACTCATTTTTTGGCTCCTTGGCTCCCACCATGGCAAAGGGCCATCAGATGGCGAAAGTGCAGTCCTGAAAAGAGTGGCCTCTATTGCGGGAGGTGCCCACCGAGCTTCCATTACAAATGCTAAAGAGATGTTCACATTTGCAAAGGATAATTTGTCATGAGATGGCTCTGAAGAACCACATAAGTGTCCTCACTTCAAATGCACTGTTGTCTTCATAGACAGCAGGGACATTGAAAGAGATCATCACAGAGAAGGCACGACAGTGAAAGGGACAAGGAGTATCCACTGCATAAAAACAGTCAAACCTGGGGTTGTAGCAAAGAGGAACCTGTCCTTCTACTGTGAATCATGCATCAAAGGAATAGGCAGATGCAGCAATGCAGACTATGTTGAGGAATGGAAGGATAGGTAGTAGTACAAAAACAGCAGCTACCGGTAGGTGCACACAGTGGCCTCGGGACCGACTCAAGCAAGGCCACAGTCTCGGATCAAGCAGAAGGTATGTAAAATGATCAATCTGATGGGGAAATCGTAAGTTGAATTAAAAAGGCAAGTGGGTCAGTTGGGTGTAAAAAAAGACAACTTCACAAAATCTTAACAACATGCCGGTATTTTCAGAAAACAAAGCCACTATAACTACACAGTATAGTATTAGAGACACCCCCTCCTGTAGCTGCACCCAACTACCAAAGCAAAATGTAGGCGGACATGATCTGTACTGATGTCTCTGTCATGTCTGACTTTAATGTTGACAATGAACTGTCTCCAAAGATGAACACCGTGAGATCTGACAAGCAAATAACAATGATAATCATAAGTATAGATCTCAACAATTTGAAGGTTAATGTGGTAAATTTAGTCTTCACAAGGAATTATTCAATGAGACTCATATGACCTACAGAAATGACAATGGATAATTGTCATAATTCTAGGCTCTATAAACAAGTAAATGTAAGTAATTAGAGGGAAAAGTGTCAATAAAAATGGAAACTTTGTCAGATTCTGTTACACCTCCTGCATCTGTGACATTTTCATATTTTTGTTCTTACACTGCAAATTACAGGTAGCAGATGTCCTTGGTGACCGATACAGCCTATCGTACATGGTGGCGCACAATGGCCAGAGGGCGAAGAAATCTTCTTCATTCACCCAGCGTCGGACATTATCACCAAATTAGAAGAACCAGAACTCCTTGTAGCCGGAACAAGGATTTTCTTTAAATTTGGGCTCGCACAGGCCGAGAGACTTTTCCTAGAACAATAGAAAATGGGAACCCCAGGACAGCTGTAGCATCTCTGTTCAGTTTTGTGTCCCAGTACACACTTTAAACAAACAAAAAATATCAAAGCAAGTGACAGATCTGATCATTTGAAGTGGGAGTGTAGAAGGTAGGTAAACGGAAAAAGACACTGGTGGTCCTGCGAACTAAAGCAGGATCAAATTTGCAGGCAGCTTCAACTTGGAGCACACACAGCTATGGACTGGGGAAAAAGAAAGTTCTACAGGGGTCACTAAGTTAAGGGACAGTGGGTGTTAGGAGGCATGGAGGAAGACTCTAGAGAATGCTTTATCATTGTTGTCCATAAGCAAGATGAGGCAACCCAGGACTGAAAAGCCCCAGGCATGATAATTATCTCAGATTGCTGGAAAGCCTACATGTACACAAGTGTTGCTACAAACACACAACTGGATGCAGCACTCCGAGGTATGAGTAACAACAAGGTGGGGCAGTTCAACAGGCTAGGAGATATTTCACCAAGGATGGCTGGAAAGCTGTTTTGTCTGTCATGTTTAAAGTAGCAACAATGGGGTGGCTCTGTTCTTTGTTTAAACAAGATCCAGACTGTGAGCAAAAAGGATGTGATGGTTGCTTCCAGTCAGCGCGCAGCCCCCACTATAATGAGGCGCACGCCAGCTTTTGTTTGCAGGAAAAAACACTCTTGTGCGTTTTGGAAGTTTGGGAGAAAAATCGAGAGTTCAGTAGTAGCCCTGCAAAGCTCTCGGGAAACTTCGCAAGGTCACTGCTGGGCCAACATGGATTGGTAAGTACATTGTAAACGATTTAAGTAATGAAAAATAAAAAAAAATCTGTATTATTTTTAGGTTTTCGCGTCAAAAACAGCCCCAAAGTGTTTTAATCCTTAAACCATGCTTGTAGTACTTAAGTTATTTTAAGTGCTCCTGACTGTTTCCAAAATGATACGTTGAAACGGTGATGGTATTTGGCGAGCTTGTTGAGGTTTTCCCCATTGTTCCATAACAATAACGTTTCTACGGAGCGGAGTATTTATCCGATTTTTACTTTTCAAAACTGCGAGATTTGGTGTTTTTAGCGACCGCATCGGCTATAAAGTGTGACGTCACGTGCTGTTTGTTTCGTGTTTCTTTTCTGTACCCTGTAAATTCTCGTGTTGTAATGGGCATACCTTATGCTTAACTAGTTTCGTGATAAATTTTGTTTTGTTTTCATTTTTATATTACTTGTAGGTCTATGGGGCTTTATTTAAATAAAATATGAAATTGGACTGCCACGGTTTCAAATCATCCTTCCTGTTTTTTTTGTAACCAAGTCTAGTTACTTGTGCGTATGGTACAGTCTACAGACATGACCATGTCCATGATGACCATACATGTGTAGAGGATGCTGATAGCCCTTCAGATTGGGAATATTCCAGCACAGCTCGTGCTACGATGGCATCAAACAGAAATACACCTTCCAGAGACGGCTCTGAAGACGAGGATTCCCATTAAGTCCCACACAAAAGTCAACTGCTGATGGTCGTGCGGGCCTTTCAAATCAATCAGCACAAAGCATTCAAAACAATAACAGGATGGTATTTACTATTCTGCTGTAACTGAATTCACCCTGGAACAGTCAGTAAAGTCGAAAGATGGCCAATATGACCTTAAGTGGGACCAGCAACTCATCACGA